GAGCCGCAGCCCCCCCCAGGCCCCCTGCCCGCCCCCAGGCGGCCTGCCCCTCACACTGGTGCTGGATGAAGCAGTGCGCGGCCAGGAGCTTCAGCGAGTGCACCTCGAAGAGCACACGGTGGAAGAGGAGGTTGTGGGCCGAGGGCCGGCGGACAGGGTCGCGGGCCAGGCAGGAGAGGATGAACTCCTAGGGGTGTGGAGAGGACAGACCGAACGCTGCCCTGGTCCCACGGTGTGGGGACAGGAGGCCCTGAAATCCCCGGCCCCAAGGGTCCAACCCCCATGGACCCGGCGTGCAGGACTGCACAGAGGGGCAGCCCGGACAGGGCCAGGCAGCCAGGGTCTGACCCTGCAAACAGAACAGTCAGGCCCTGAGCCTGGAACTCCTCTCACCCCTCACAAACATCCGGGCGGTGGGGGGGGGTCGGTGCTGTCATCCCCCGTTCACAGAGGAAGCCTGCTCAGAGTGCCGGCAGACCAGCCCAGGCCCCCTGGAGGTCACGTGGCCCTGCACGAACCCGCCCACCACAGCCAGCGCCTCTGCTGCTCGTCTCGGCCAGGCCCAGCTCCCCAGCTCCGGAGGTGACCTTGATGGGTCCTTACTCCCCACACCCATGCGTGCTCTGCACAGCCTCTCTCGTCCGTCTGGGCTCCACCTCCCCACCAGCCCATCCAGGCCCATCCCTTCCCTCCGCCATCCCCAGAGGCCATGTGGTTAAGCCAGAGAGTCCCCAGACTCTGGCCAGAGTGGCTGTGGATGCAGCTTCCATCCCGTATTCCCTCTGCCTGCCCTGCTGCTCACCCTGCCCCCCCTCAGCCCGAGCACGTCACTCTAGCCTGTCCTCTGGAGGCCTAACCGCGAGGACCTGGAGCCAGGCAGGCCCGGTGCGGACACCAGCTCTACCACTTACTCTAGAGCCGTGGACAAAGGACTCGGCCGCTTTGTCTATAGAACGGACATCGCAGCAGTGCCCTCACATATGTCTCCGCGTCCCCGGTAAGGTGTGCGCCTAGAGCCCTCAGGCCCGGAACTCAGCCTGCAGTCTGGGTCAGGCCTCCTGGCAGGTGGGCCGGCTCGGGCCTCGGCAGCACGGACTTGTTGCACCTCCAGGCCTGCCTGAAACCCGCCCCCAGCCCTACCTGGAGGGGCAGGCAAGCTGCTTACCCGCATGTTGGGGTCACTCAGCGAGTGCCTGGCACGAGCGATGGCCTCCTCTGTGACCCTGGTGTCTCCGTTGGCCTGGATCTCCAGGACAGCCATCTGGAGACAGGGCCGGCAGGTCAGGCCCCCGGGACTGACAGCACCGGGGAGAGGGGTGCAGGGAGCTGGGAGGAGGCCGGGTCAGGAGGCCGTGGGGCCAGTACCTCCAGCGCACACATCCCGAAGGAGAAGATGTCCACTGCGGTGCGGTCAGCCACCTCTGAAAGCGGGACAGAGAGTTAGCACCGCACACAGGGCGGAAGCTGCGCTGGGGGCGGGGCCTCCGGGACTCACCGCCGTACTCCGGGGGGAAGAAGTGCAGGTTCCGCGGCTCCTCCTGCTCGGTGTGGATGGGGCTTCGGAGATCATCCGGGAGCGCTAGGGCAAGCGCAGGGATGAGCGGACCGGACCTCTCCACGTCCCTCCATCCCCCAGGGCCCCCACGCACCACTGGAGAAGACGCGGTGCCACACTGCGCAGGGCACGGGGAGAAAGAGCGGGGTCAATGTGACGGGGCGTCAGGCGCCCTCCTCCCTCGGTCCCCGCTGGTTCCTCCTTGCTGGTCCCCCCAGCCCCGCCCCCTGCCCTGCCCGCACCGGAGCCGATCTTGATGAGGCCGTTGTGCTGTATGAAGATGGTGTCACTAGTCAGGTTCCCGTGGATGATGGGAGGGCTGCAGGCGTGCAGAAAGCTGCGGGCCACGGGAGAGGAGAGCAGGCAGAGCTGGGTCAGGGGGCGCCAGGGAGGCGGGGCATGGGGGGCGGAGGCACGGGCAAGCGGGGCGCTCACCTGAGCGCGGACAGGATCTGCGTGCACCAACGCTTCCAGGCCTGTCGGCGGACGCACTCGGTCGGACCGGCGGGAGAGGCGGCTGGGCCTGTGGTGCCCCCTGTGTCCCTGCCCCTCAACCCCGTTTCCGTTCCCGAAGTTGCCCCACGCCCCATGCCCGGCGCCCTCTCTGCCCCAGATGGTGCCCTGACCCGGCCCTGTTCTAGATGCCAACCCTGCCCACTCCCCATACCCGGGCGTTCATGGCCTTGTGGTTCTTCTTGGTCTTTTTGAGGAACTGCTTGAGGCTGCCCGAGGACACGTACTCCGTGATGAAGATGACCTGTGGGGCAGACGGGGCTCTCCGGCTTGCCGACCGCGGGCAGGCGCCCGCCACCACCCCGCCTGCCCTCCGGCGCCCCGCCCACCCCTACTGTGCCTGGGGCTCACCCTCGCGCCTGCCTCGGAGGCATCCAGCCAGTACTTGTGCAGTTTGACGATGTTGGGGTGGTCGACGAGCACCAGCTGCTCAAACATGGTCTGGATCTTCTCCTGGGAAGTGTGTGTGTGTGTGGGGGGGGGTGCAGTCACGCGGTGGTCACAAGAGATGGGGTGGGGGGGCATGCCGCAGGCCTCACCTCGTGTGCAGAGAAGGCCTTTCTGTCGCTGAAGTGCAGCTCATTCCACACCACCTCCACCCCCTCTTCCGTGTCCATGGCCAGGAACGTGCTCTGGACCCCGGGCATGTTTCCCTGGTTCACCTGGTGGGTGCGGGGGGGGGGGCGGGCAGAATACTAATGTGCTGTTAGCTGTCAGGGGAGGCAGTGGGGACATGGTCTGTTCGCACAAGCTGGTGAGGAAGGTCCTGGCCTGCTCCGGGGGGAAGCTGAGGGCATCCGTGGATTTGGAGCAGATCACAGGAGGTTGAGGATGGTTCCCAGGGGGCCGGTGGCTGGTCCCAGAGGCATGGGGAAGTGATCCTGCCAGACTGGCCCTTAGGGAATCAGGGCTCCTCACCAGGGCACGGGGGCCAGGCCAAAGGGGTGCAAGAAGAAGGTCGCCCACTCGAGGCTGCAGAGATTTCGGGCCTCCTGCTCCCCAGCTTCTCCCTCAACCTCCCTCCTCCTGCCCACCTGCTCCCGCCGCTTCTGCCAGCGGCCGCACGGGCTTTCCTCCAGGATGTCGCTCTCGTCTTCGCTCTCCTCCTCCCGATCCCGCTCCCGCTCCCGCTCCCGGCCCCGTCTGGGCGCCGGCTCCGGAGCCGCCATGGTTCGGCGGGCCCAGGCCGCCGCCCTCCGTGCGATCTGCCGCCGCCGCCGATCCCCGCCCGCCCTGGCCCAGCTCACAGAAGCACAGCCAGGAGCTGAGCCTCCGCCGCCTCGAGCCTTCACCCAAGCTCCGGGAATTGGGCGGCGCGGATGCGCGGCCAGGGAGGTGGAGCCTGCCCGGCCCTCCGGAGCCACCTCCTCGGGTTGGAGCCGGAGTGCAGCTTCCCAGCCGATTGCCGAGCCCGCGCAGCGCTGGGAGAAGACTCCTCCTGTCCGCGTCTCCCGTCCCGCCCCGGCGAGCCCCGACCTCGGAGCCACGCCTGACGGGAGGACCCGCCCCATTTGAGACCCCACCCCGCTCTAGGCCCGTCCACAGGAACCCCGCGCTCCTTTGGCCACGCCCCCACGAGGCCACACCCATTCGCTTTATGGCTCCGCCCCGCAACCCACACCCAGTCCGCGCCCCAACACTAGACCGGGTTTGATTTAAGGCACCACCTTATATAAGGCCTTGCCCAGGACTAGGCCCCGTCCATTTCTGGCTAAGGCGCCGTCCTGTGACCCCCGCCCCGGAGACCCCCCCATCCGTGAGCTCCACGGGGTCCAGAACTCTGCCTCATTTGGGTCCTCCCGCCATGGCCCCGCCCCCCTCAGGCCACGCCCCGGCTAATGTCTCACCTATCAGCGCCTAGGGCCCCGCCCCATCTAGGCCCGGTCCATTCCTAGCTAAGGCCCCGCCCCTCAATCCCCGCCCCGGACGGCCCCCACCCTCAAGCTCCGCCCAACGGAAGCCCCGCCCACTAGAGGTGGCTCGGAATTGGCGGTGCGATTGAGGGCGCAGCCTCCCGCTTCTTCAGGCTCAGGCTGTTTTGGAGGACGCCCCCCGGAGCGGATAGAGCCGACCAGCCCGGCCTCTGGGGGTTCAGCGCCGGCCTGGAGCCGCGTCCGTCGGGACATCCCTTTGGCGCGCGGCCTGCGCGGACCGGGGCGGGCCAGGGGGCTCCGGAACCGACCCAGCTCAGCGCTTGGAACCTCACGTACTTCCAGCACCACTTCTCCAGCGCATTCCTGTGGCACACGTCCCGGAACCCGCAGTTGTCTCCAGGCTTCCCCCAGGGCGGACCCAGCATGGAGTGGGGTGTGGCACAGCCGGCCCCTCCCAGAGATGAGACCCTAGGGTCTGGGGGGAGGCCTGGGAGCCCGCCTGGGAGGCCAGCTCCCCTGTGTGCCCCCTCCTGCAAGAATATGTGGGGAGTCAGTGAAGGTGACACGAAACCCACAGACAGGCTGCCAGGTGATCTGATTTATGACCCCAACCTTCCCACGGGCCCTACTTCTGTGCTTCCCTCTCCCTGGCACTGCGGAACCCTGGGGCAGCTGGTTCCTCAGGAGGCCCCCTTCCCTCTGCCTCCAGCCCCATCAAGAGACAAGCTGTGGAATTCTCACCTAAATTCCCCTCCACAACCCCTGCTCCCCTCCCATGGTTTCCTCCCTGGCACCCCTGTTGTTATAGTTTGGTGGATGAGCCTTCAGATGTCTGAATTTAAAAAAAAAGTTTCATTTATACGTAAACATTTCTTTGCAAATTATAAAGGTCCTCACTCCTCCAGGGAGTAGCAGTGGCAGGAGACAGAATCACCCTGTGCCTTCGCTGGACAGGCAGTGGCATGGACGGCCACGGCAGAAGGACCCCACCGGAGAGCAATGACTGAGGCAACGAAACACAGGAACTGGTGGGCAAAGGACACAAAGAGCAGAAGGACTTCTTGATCGAAAGGAATGCATTTAATAAAAACTGGAACACACAGAATGATGTATACGCTTCAGTGTGATAGGTGGAGGTGCCAAGAAATAGAGTTCTTTCAAAACATGTTTTGAAAGAACTCTCATGTGAAGACATTTTTCATTGCTTTTAGAAAGAGGGATAAACCTCGACGAAACAGAAGCATTGACTGGTTGGTTGCCTCCCTTACCCAGGGCACCACAGGTGTCTGGATCCAGGGATGGGACCCACAACCCACGCCAATGCTCTCACAGGAAGCCAACCACAAGCCCTTGGTTGCAGGACGACTCTACAACCAAAGAAGCCACAGGGACCAGGGCCAAGGAAAAGAGTCCTTTGTTGTAAGGGCAGCAGAGTTTATCAATGATGACCAACGGCCAATGTTCTGTCAGATAAAAATATGTTGAATACTCAAGGGAGAACTGCAAGAGTACCCAAGATGCCATCTAGATGACACATGATTATTTTAATGGAAAGGAAAGACCCAAGCCTCTGGGAGTAGAGAAAAACAAACAATGTGAAATGTATAAAACAAATAAGAAACATTACATTCAAGGTAATTTTAGACCCCTCTGGGCAGAATAACATCCTTTGACAGGTGAAATCTAACACAAACAGATCTTTTATTTCTGAGAAAGAGAAAGAAATAAGAGGCCTGTTTCAGAGTCAAGAGCAGCCTTCTGAAGCAGCTGCATGTAGGTGAGGTTCTCGTGCGTGTTGGGGTCGAAGAAGCCCTTGGTGTCGTCGCTCGGGTCCGCCAGGACGCGGTTCATCTCCTCGTCGAAGTAGCCGCGCTCATAGGCCACCTCCACGGGCAGCCGGTGGCTGTGCACGGGGTCGATGATGCCGCCCGTGGCGATCTGGGCCTCCAGCAGGCGGATGCCGTGGTCGCGGACGATCAGGCCCTTCTGCATGGCCTGGAAGAGCGAGATGGGCTCCCCGGTGTAGGGGTCGGTGTAGCCGGTGACCGCGCGCTCGGCCGACAGCAGCTTGTCGCGGATCTCGCCGCCCACCACGCCCGCGGCCACCGCCTCGTCCACGGACAGCCGCTGGTTGCGCACGGGGTCGATGAGGAAGCCCGTGGCCGCCTGGGCCTCCAGCAGCACCAGGGCCGTGCCGGGCCGCAGCAGGCCCTTCCACATGGCCTGGTAGATGCTCATCTTCTCCTGCCTGGAGGGGTCGTCCCTGGCGGGCACCAGCACGCCTGCGATGCAGCTCGTGCCCTCCAGGTAGCGCCGCACCGAGTCCATCTTCAGCACCTCCTGGGGGCTCTTGGTGCCCTGGGCCAGGCCCCGCAGGGTCTCAGGGTCCAGCACCCCGGACGTGCCCAGCTGGGCCGCGGACACATGGCGCCGCAGGCCCCGGAAGGACACCTTGCTCAGGCGCTCCTCCGTCTCCTCCACGACCTGGGTGAGGACGGCCACCAGGCCGGGCAGGGCCAGGGTGCCGGCCTCCAGCTGGGCCAGCAGCTCCTCCCGGCGGGCCTGGGTCAGGTAGGAGGAGCACAGGACGTCCCACACGGACACCGGCCGCCCGCGGAACCGCCCCGGCGCGCACCTCCATGGTGGCGGCACGCAGCTCCTGCTCCCGAGGGTGCCCGGTGGCCCCGCCCTCACTGCGCCCCTGCTGCCCCCGGATCCCGCTGGCCGGGGGCTGTGTCCCCCTGCCCCCCGCCGCCCACCCTGCACCTCCTGGGCCTCCTCGGCCTCCTCGATGATGGTGGTCAGCCGGGCGGGTCAGCGCGGGCAGCCCCCAGCGCCCCGAGCGGAACTGGGCCAGCAGCTGCTCCCTCCTGTCGGCGCTCACGTAGGCGGACTCCAGCACGTCCCCACACGGGCACGGCCGGGCCCCGCAGGCGGCCCACCCTGACCTCCATGGTGGCGGCGCGCAGGGCGGGCGGAGGGTCCGCGGCCGCGGAGGCCCCCGGCCAGCAGCGCGGTGAGCGAGGCGCCCAGCTCCTGCACGCTCAGCCTGCCCGCCCGGTACCCGGCCAGCAGGTCCTGCCGCAGGCTCTCGGACACCTCCCGGTAGAAGAGCAGCTCCCAGACGGACACGTCCTGGCCCTCGGGGGCGCCTGCCCCCGGCGGCAGGGACACGCGCACGTCCCGCAGGGTGCGGCGCAGCTCCTCGCTCAGCTGCTGCAGGGCGGAGCCCTGGCGGGCCAGCTGCAGCACGTACAGCCCCGTGTCCGGGTCGCGCACGCAGCGGCGCAGCAGCTGCATGTAGGTGAGGTTCTCGTGCGTGTTGGGGGTCGAAGAAGCCCTTGGTGTCGCCGCTCGGGTCCGCCAGGACGCGGTTCATCTCCTCGTCGAAGTAGCCGCGCTCATAGGCCACCTCCACGGGCAGCCGGTGGCTGTGCACGGGGTCGATGATGCCGCCCGTGGCGATCTGGGCCTCCAGCAGGCGGATGCCGTGGTCGCGGACGATCAGGTCCTTCCGCATGGCCTGGAAGAGCGAGATGGGCTCCCGGTGTAGGGGTCGGTGTAGCCGGTGACCGCGCGCTCGGCCGACAGCAGCTTGTCGCGGATCTCGCCGCCCACCACGCCCGCGGCCACCGCCTCGTCCCACGGACAGCCGCTGGTTGCGCACGGGGTCGATGAGGAAGCCCGTGGCCGCCTGGGCCTCCAGCAGCACCAGGGCCGTGCCGGGCCGCAGCAGGCCCTTCCACATGGCCTGGTAGATGCTCATCTTCTCCTGCCTGGAGGGGGTCGTCCCCTGGCGGGCACCAGCACGCCTGCGATGCAGCTCGTGCCCTCCAGGTAGCGCCGCACCGAGTCCATCTTCAGCACCTCCTGGGGGGCTCTTGGTGCCCTGGGCCAGGCCCCCGCAGGGTCTCAGGGTCCAGCACCCCGGACGTGCCCAGCTGGGCCGCGGACACATGGCGCCGCAGGCCCCGGAAGGACACCTTGCTCAGGCGCTCCTCCGTCTCCTCCACGACCTGGGTGAGGACGGCCACCAGGCCGGGCAGGGCCAGGGTGCCGGCCTCCAGCTGGGCCAGCAGCTCCTCCCGGCGGGCCTGGGTCAGGTAGGAGGAGCACAGGACGTCCCACACGGACACCGGCCGCCCGCGGAACCGCCCGGCGCGCACCTCCATGGTGGCGGCACGCAGCTCCTGCTCCCGAGGGTGCCCGGTGGCCCCGCCCTCACTGCGCCCCTGCTGCCCCGGATCCCGCTGGCCGGGGGCTGTGTCCCCCCTGCCCCCGCCGCCCACCCTGCACCTCCTGGGCCTCCTCGGCCTCCTCGATGATGGTGGTCAGCCCGGCGGGTCAGCGCGGGCAGCCCCAGCGCCCCCGAGCGGAACTGGGCCAGCAGCTGCTCCCTCCTGTCGGCGCTCACGTAGGCGGACTCCAGCACGTCCCACACGGGCACGGCCGGGCCCCGCAGGCGGCCCACCCTGACCTCCATGGTGGCGGCGCGCAGGGCGGGCGGAGGGTCCGCGGCCGCGGAGGCCCCGGCCAGCAGCGCGGTGAGCGAGGCGCCCAGCTCCTGCACGCTCAGCCTGCCCGCCCGGTACCCGGCCAGCAGGTCCTGCCGCAGGCTCTCGGACACCTCCCGGTAGAAGAGCAGCTCCCAGACGGACACGTCCTGGCCCTCGGGGCGCCCGCCCCGGCGGCAGGGACACGCGCACGTCCCCGCAGGGGCGCGGCGCAGCTCCTCGCTCAGCTGCTGCAGGGCGGAGCCCTGGGCGGGCCAGCTGCAGCACGTACAGCCCCGTGTCCGGGTCGCGCACGCAGCGCGCAGCAGCTGCATGTAGGTGAGGTTCTCGTGCGTGTTGGGGTCGAAGAAGCCCTTGGTGTCGTCGCTCGGGTCCGCCAGGGACGCGGTTCATCTCCTCGTCGAAGTAGCCGCGCTCATAGGCCACCTCCACGGGCAGCCGGTGGCTGTGCACGGGGTCGATGATGCCGCCCGTGGCGATCTGGGCCTCCAGCAGGCGGATGCCGTGGTCGCGGACGATCAGGTCCTTCCGCATGGCCTGGAAGAGCGAGATGGGCTCCCCGGTGTAGGGGTCGGTGTAGCCGGTGACCGCGCGCTCGGCCGACAGCAGCTTGTCGCGGATCTCGCCGCCCACCACGCCCGCGGCCACCGCCTCGTCCACGGACAGCCGCTGGTTGCGCACGGGGTCGATGAGGAAGCCCGTGGCCGCCTGGGCCTCCAGCAGCACCAGGGCCGTGCCGGGCCGCAGCAGGCCCTTCCACATGGCCTGGTAGATGCTCATCTTCTCCTGCCTGGAGGGGTCGTCCCTGGCGGGCACCAGCACGCCTGCGATGCAGCTCGTGCCCTCCAGGTAGCGCCGCACCGAGTCCATCTTCAGCACCTCCTGGGGGGCTCTTGGTGCCCTGGGCCAGGCCCCCGCAGGGTCTCAGGGTCCAGCACCCCGGACGTGCCCAGCTGGGCCGCGGACACATGGCGCCGCAGGCCCCGGGAAGGACACCTTGCTCAGGCGCTCCTCCGTCTCCTCCACGACCTGGGTGAGGGACGGCCACCAGGCCGGGCAGGGCCAGGGTGCCGGCCTCCAGCTGGGCCAGCAGCTCCTCCCGGCGGGCCTGGGTCAGGTAGGAGGAGCACAGGACGTCCCACACGGACACCGGCCGCCCGCGGAACCGCCCGGCGCGCACCTCCATGGTGGCGGCACGCAGCTCCTGCTCCCGAGGGTGCCCGGTGGCCCCGCCCTCACTGCGCCCCTGCTGCCCCGGATCCCGCTGGCCGGGGGCTGTGTCCCCCTGCCCCCGCCGCCCACCCTGCACCTCCTGGGCCTCCTCGGCCTCCTCGATGATGGTGGTCAGCCGGCGGGTCAGCGCGGGCAGCCCCAGCGCCCCCGAGCGGAACTGGGCCAGCAGCTGCTCCCTCCTGTCGGCGCTCACGTAGGCGGACTCCAGCACGTCCCACACGGGCACGGCCGGGCCCCGCAGGCGGCCCACCCTGACCTCCATGGTGGCGGCGCGCAGGGCGGGCGGAGGGTCCGCGGCCGCGGAGGCCCCGGCCAGCAGCGCGGTGAGCGAGGCGCCCAGCTCCTGCACGCTCAGCCTGCCCGCCCGGTACCCGGCCAGCAGGTCCTGCCGCAGGCTCTCGGACACCTCCCGGTAGAAGAGCAGCTCCCAGACGGACACGTCCTGGCCCTCGGGGCGCCCGCCCCGGCGGCAGGGACACGCGCACGTCCCGCAGGGCGCGGCGCAGCTCCTCGCTCAGCTGCTGCAGGGCGGAGCCCTGGCGGGCCAGCTGCAGCACGTACAGCCCCGTGTCCGGGTCGCGCACGCAGCGGCGCAGCAGCTGCATGTAGGTGAGGTTCTCGTGCGTGTTGGGGTCGAAGAAGCCCTTGGTGTCGTCGCTCGGGTCCGCCAGGACGCGGTTCATCTCCTCGTCGAAGTAGCCGCGCTCATAGGCCACCTCCACGGGCAGCCGGTGGCTGTGCACGGGGTCGATGATGCCGCCCGTGGCGATCTGGGCCTCCAGCAGGCGGATGCCGTGGTCGCGGACGATCAGGTCCTTCCGCATGGCCTGGAAGAGCGAGATGGGCTCCCCGGTGTAGGGGTCGGTGTAGCCGGTGACCGCGCGCTCGGCCGACAGCAGCTTGTCGCGGATCTCGCCGCCCACCACGCCCGCGGCCACCGCCTCGCTCCACGGACAGCCGCTGGTTGCGCACGGGGTCGATGAGGAAGCCCGTGGCCGCCTGGGCCTCCAGCAGCACCAGGGCCGTGCCGGGCCGCAGCAGGCCCTTCCACATGGCCTGGTAGATGCTCATCTTCTCCTGCCTGGAGGGGTCGTCCCTGGCGGGCACCAGCACGCCTGCAATGCAGCTCGTGCCCTCCAGGTAGCGCCGCACCGAGTCCATCTTCAGCACCTCCTGGGGGCTCTTGGTGCCCTGGGCCAGGCCCCGCAGGGTCTCAGGGTCCAGCACCCCGGACGTGCCCAGCTGGGCCGCGGACACATGGCGCCGCAGGCCCCGGAAGGACACCTTGCTCAGGCGCTCCTCCGTCTCCTCCACGACCTGGGTGAGGACGGCCACCAGGCCGGGCAGGGCCAGGGTGCCGGCCTCCAGCTGGGCCAGCAGCTCCTCCCGGCGGGCCTGGGTCAGGTAGGAGGAGCACAGGGACGTCCCCACACGGACACCGGCCGCCCGCGGAACCGCCCGGCGCGCACCTCCATGGTGGCGGCACGCAGCTCCTGCTCCCGAGGGTGCCCGGTGGCCCCGCCTCACTGCGCCCCTGCTGCCCCGGATCCCGCTGGCCGGGGGCTGTGTCCCCCTGCCCCCGCCGCCCACCCTGCACCTCCTGGGCCTCCTCGGCCTCCTCGATGATGGTGGTCAGCCGGCGGGTCAGCGCGGGCAGCCCCAGCGCCCCCGAGCGGAACTGGGCCAGCAGCTGCTCCCTCCTGTCGGCGCTCACGTAGGCGGACTCCAGCACGTCCCACACGGGCACGGCCGGGCCCTCGCAGGCGGCCCACCCTGACCTCCATGGTGGCGGCGCGCAGGGCGGGCGGAGGGTCCGCGGCCGCGGAGGCCCCGGCCAGCAGCGCGGTGAGCGAGGCGCCCAGCTCCTGCACGCTCAGCCTGCCCGCCCGGTACCCGGCCAGCAGGTCCTGCCGCAGGCTCTCGGACACCTCCCGGTAGAAGAGCAGCTCCCAGACGGACACGTCCTGGCCCTCGGGGGCGCCCGCCCCCGGCGGCAGGGACACGCGCACGTCCCGCAGGGCGCGGCGCAGCTCCTCGCTCAGCTGCTGCAGGGCGGAGCCCTGGCGGGCCAGCTGCAGCACGTACAGCCCCGTGTCGGGGTCGCGCACGCAGCGGCGCAGCAGCTGCATGTAGGTGAGGTTCTCGTGCGTGTTGGGGTCGAAGAAGCCCTTGGTGTCGTCGCTCGGGTCCGCCAGGGACGCGGTTCATCTCCTCGTCGAAGTAGCCGCGCTCATAGGCCACCTCCACGGGCAGCCGGTGGCTGTGCACGGGGTCGATGATGCCGCCCGTGGCGATCTGGGCCTCCAGCAGGCGGATGCCGTGGTCGCGGGACGATCAGGTCCTTCCGCATGGCCTGGAAGAGCGAGATGGGCTCCCCGGTGTAGGGGTCGGTGTAGCCGGTGACCGCGCGCTCGGCCGACAGCAGCTTGTCGCGGATCTCGCCGCCCACCACGCCCGCGGCCACCGCCTCGTCCACGGACAGCCGCTGGTTGCGCACGGGGTCGATGAGGAAGCCCGTGGCCGCCTGGGCCTCCAGCAGCACCAGGGCCGTGCCGGGCCGCAGCAGGCCCTTCCACATGGCCTGGTAGATGCTCATCTTCTCCTGCCTGGAGGGGTCGTCCCTGGCGGGCACCAGCACGCCAGCGATGCAGCTCGTGCCCTCCAGGTAGCGCCGCACGCCCTCGTCCTGCTTGACGTCTTCCACGGAACTCTGTCCCTCCTCGAGTTTCTCCAGCGTCTCCTTGGTGATGATGGCCGACTGGAAGAGCTCGGAGGCCGTCACCTGCCTCCTGATGCCTCGGAACCACAGCTGCTTGCTGCACTTCTCTCTCTCCTCGATCATCACGAAGATGTTTTCTACTACCTTGTCCAGGGCACGCTTCGTGTCTCTCTTGTAGCTTCCCACCAGCTCCAGTTTTTTCTCCTCGGTGACGTATTCCGAGTTCAGCAGCTCCCACACTGAGGGCCTCTGTCCCTTGTACCGGCCGACCGTGACCTCCACCCGTTCGGCCTCCAGGGCCCTGCGCGTGGCCTCATCCACGTACGGGGATTCCTTCTCGTCGCGGGTCACGGGGAACAGCGTCCAGCCCCCCGCCCCTTTCTGGAGGCTTCTGTCCTGCAGCTCCTTGTACGTCACCTTCTCGTGTGTGTTGGGATCCACAAACCTCTTCTTCATGAGCTTCTGGTCGGACACGAGCGGGTACATGTCCCGGCGCAGACAGCCGCGCCTGCAGGCCGCGTCCAGTGGGAGCCGGTGGTGGTGCTGCGGGTCCACGACGCCCCCGGTGGCCACCTGCACCTCCAGCAGTCTCAGCGCCGCCTCCCTGTCCACCAGCTTCCTCTCCATGGCCTGGAGCAGCGGGAGCGTGCGCCCCGTGTCGGGGTCCGGGTAGCCCTTGACAGCCTTCTCGGCGTCCCGGAGCCTGTCCTGTAGGTCCTCGCCCACCAGGCCGGCGGCCACGGCCTCGTCCACGGAGAGCCTCCGGTGGGTGTGGGGGTCCAGCATGAACCCTGTGGCCGCCTGGGCCTCCAGCAGCAGGGCCGCGAACCCCGTGGGGATGAGTCCTCTGGCGCTGGCCTCGTAGACGCTCATCACCTCCTGTGTGGAGGGGACGGTCACGCCCGCGATGCAGCCACTGCCTTCTATGTAGGCCTTCACGTGCTCCAGGCCGCCGAGCGCCTGTCCCCCGCGCAGCGCGTCCAGGCTCTTCCTGTCGATGATGCCCGCGTTGAACAGGTCCGCGGCCGTCACGTCCCCGCCGATCCCCGGCACCTTGATGACCTGGTGCTGCTCCTCCGTCTCCTCGACCGTGGCGGTGACGATCTCCAGCAGCCGCTGCAGACTCAGGGCCCGGGCTCGGTGCTGCTGGACCAGCTCCCGCCGCCGGTCCTCCGTGAAGTACTGAGAGGACAGCAGGTCCCAGACGGACACGCTCTGACCCGCGAACCTCCCCACACGCATGGTCACGGTCTGCAGCCGCAGGGCCCGCCTCGTGGCCTCGTCGATGTACACGTACGGCTCTCCTTTCTTCACGATTTGTAACATGTACAGGCCGGTCTCGGGGTCCTCCACACAGCGCTCCAGCAGCTGCATGTACGTGAGGTTCTCGTGGGTGTTGGGGTCGAAGAAGCCCTTGGTGTCGTCACTCGGGTCCGCCAGGACGCGGTTCATCTCCTCGTCGAAGTAGCCGCGCTCGTAGGCCACCTCCACGGGCAGCCGGTGGCTGTGCACGGGGTCGATGATGCCGCCCGTGGCGATCTGGGCCTCCAGCAGGCGGATGCCGTGGTCGCGGACGATCAGGTCCTTCCGCATGGCCTGGAAGAGCGAGATGGGCTCCCCGGTGTAGGGGTCGGTGTAGCCGGTGACTGCACGCTCGGCCGACAGCAGCTTCTGGTAGGTCTCCTTCCCAAACATCCCTGCCGCGAAGGCCTCCTCCACGGTCAGCCTGCGGTTGGCCACGGGGTCGATGAGGAACCCTGTGGCCGCCTGGGCCTCCAGCAGCACCAGGGCCGTGCCGGGCCGCAGGATGCCCCTGCTCAGGGCCTCGGAGACGCTCATCCTCTCCTTGGTGGCCTGGACGAGGACCCCGGCGATGAAGTTGCCCCCTTCCAGGCAGCGCCGCACGCTGTCCATCTGTGTAACCTCCTGCACGGTCCTCGCACCCCGGCTCAGCTCGTCCAGCGTCTTCTTGTCGATCACCTGGGACCTGAACAGGTCGCTGGCCGACACCTGCTTCCGGAGCCCCCTGAAGACGGCCTGCGGGGGCTTCTTCTCCGAGGCCTCGACCAGGGCGGTGAGCGTGCTGACCACCTGCCGCAGGGCCGTGGCCCGCCCAGACTGGCAGAGTGCCGCCAGCTCCCGCCGCCGGCGACCGCTGACGTACTCCGAGTGCAGCAGGTCCCAGAGCGACACGGTGAGCCCCTTGAACCGCCCGGCCCCGACGGGCACCTTCATGGCCCTCAGGGCCACGGCCGTGTGCTTGTCCACCTCCAGGGCCACATCCTGGGGCAGGGGCAGCAGCCACAGGCCGGTGTCGGCATCAAGGACACAGCGTTCTTTGAGCTGCTGGTAGGTCACCTTGTCCCGCGAGCTGGGGTCGAAGAAGAACCGGTGGTCCTCATCGGTGCCGGTCAGCACCCGACTCGTCCGCTCGTCCAGGAGGCCCAGCTTGCAGGCTGCCGCCTGGGGCAGGTGCACCCCGTAGGTGGGGTCCACGGCACCACCTGTGGCCAGCTGGGCCTGCAGGAGCGGGAGGCCCTCGCCCTGGGGCACGAGCCCCTTCTCCACGGCCTGCCACAGCGAGAGGCGGCCCCCCGAGTAGGGGTCCGTGTACCCAGTCACGGCCCTCTCCGCCTGCCGGAGCTGCTCGCTCAGCGTCCCGCTCACCAGGCCGGCCTTGACTGCGTCTTCCACGGACAGCCTCTGGCCGGTCAGGGGATCCACAAGGGAGCCCGAGGCCACCTGGGCCTCCAGCAGACTCTGCCCCAGGCCCGCGGGCAGGAGGCCGTCCTTCACGGCCTGGTCGACGCTGGCCTTGGTCCCCGAGGGCTGCAGCAGCACCCCGGCCACGCAGCCCGTGCCCCACAGGCAGGCCCTCACCGCAGGCTCCTCGGCGACCTGGGCAGGAGACCGCGCGCCCCGGGCCAGTGCCGCCAGGGTCTCCGGGGCGATGATGCCGGCGTCCAGCAGCCAGACCGCGGGAACCTCGCCCCGGGGGCCGGGCATGGTGACGCGGGCCTGGGCCAGGAGCTCCGCCTCCCGCAGGCAGCTCTGCACGGCCATCTGCAGCTGCCGCACGGTGGTCCTCCCTGCGCGGAAGTCCTCCAGGAAGCCCCTCCGCTGCTCCTCCGAGAAGTGGCAGGAGGCCAGCAGCTCCCAGAGGGACGTGCCGTCCGCGGCCCCCGCAGTGGCCTGCAGGGTCTCCCGGACCTGCTCGTCTGTGGGCATGGCAGGAGCGCTTTCCTGCAGGGGCAGGAGGTACAGGCCGGAGGCCTCGTCCTTCACACACTGTCCCAGAAGCTGGACGTAGCTGGTGTTTCCCCGGCCGTCTGGCGTGGGGTAGGTCTCGCAGGAGCTGGACAAGGCCGTCTCCGTCTCCTGGTCGATGTAGCCACGCTCGACGGCCGCGGACACGGGCAGGTGGTAGTGGCCTGCGGGGTCGACGACCCCTCCTGTGGCCAGCTGGGCCTGTAGGAGGCGGGCAGCCTGCTCCTCGCGGACCAGGCCCTTCCTCATGGCTTGGAACAGGGACACCCGCTGCCCAGAAAAGGGGTCCCGGAAGCCGGTCACAGCGTCCTCGGCCCGTCTCAGCCGGGCATACAGCTCGGGCCCCACCAGCTGCCTGCGCACAGCCTCCTCCACTGACAGGTGCTCCAGGCTCTGGGGGTCGGCGAGGGCTCCGGTGGCCGCCTGGGCCTCCAGCAGCGCCAGGGCCACGCCCGGCCCCAGCAGCTTCTGCTTCATGGCCTGGTAGAGGCTGAGCCTCCGGTTGGAGGACGGCAGCAGCACGCCACCCACGGCGCCTGAGCCACGCAGGTACCTGCGGACGCCGTCCATGCGGAGCAGGGCCTCAGGGCTGACCGCCCCGGCCAGCAGCCGGTCCAGGAGCTCCTGGTCGATGATGTGGGCCTCCAGGAGCTGGAAAGGGGTGACGCGCCCCCGCAGCGCGGGCAGCGTGATGTCCGTGCACCGCGCCGACTCCCTCTGCAGCAGCTTCGCTACCTGCTCCAAGGAGAGCTCGCGCCGCCGGTAGCGGTGCAGCAGCTGCCGCCGCTGGGCCTCGCTGAAGCACTCCGAGTTGAGCAGCTCCCACGCAGACACCCGCCGCCCCCGGAAGCGCCCGTGGCTCGTGGGCAGCAGCAGGCTCTGGAAGGCCCGCCGGGTGGCGCCATCCACCAGCTGGGGACGCTCGCTGCTGAGCAGCAGCAGGTAGAGGCCGGTCTCGGCATCGCGTACGCAGCGCTCCAGCAGCTGCATGTAGGTGAGGTTCTCGTGCGTGTTGGGGTCGAAGAAGCCCTTGGTGTCGTCGCTCGGGTCCGCCAGGATCAAGTTCAGTGTCTGGTCGAAGTAGCCGCGCTGGTAGGCCACGTGCACGGGCAGCCGGTGGCTGTGCACGGGGTCGATGATGCCGCCCGTGGCGATCTGGGCCTCCAGCAGGCGGATGCCGTGATCGCGGACGATCAGGCCCTTCTGCATGGCCTGGAAGAGGGAGATGGGCTCCCCGGTGTAGGGGTCAGTGTAGCCGGTGACCGCGCGCTCGGCCGACAGCAGCTTGGCGAACAGGCTGGGCCCGATGACGCCGGCCTGCAGCGCCGCCTGCACGGAGTACCTCTGGTTTTCCTTCGGGTCGATGAGGAAGCCGGTGGCCACCTGCGCCTCCAGGAGGACGAGGGCTGTGCCCGGCCGCAGGAGCCCCTTCTTCTGAGCCTCGTAGATGCTGAGCCGCTCCCGGGAGTCAGGCAGCAGCAGGCCGGCAATGCAGCCGGTGCCCTGCAGGTACCTCTGCACCGAGTCCAGGCTGCCCACGTGCTGCGCCGTGGTCTGTCCCCGCGCCAGCTGCTCATACACGTCCTGGCCGATGATCTCTGCCTGCAGCAGCTCCCCGGGCGACACGGGGACCCTGAGCCCAGAGAAGGTGGTCTTGGCGGTGGCCGCGGCCTGCTCTAGGGTGGCCCGCAGCACGGCGGCCAGCTCCTCCACGGACAGCGTCCCTCGCTGGTGCTGCTGCGCCAGCGCTGCCCTCTGCTCCACCGGGACGGCCTCGGAGAAGAGCAGCTCCCACAGGGACACGGGCTTCTCCTGCAGCCCACCCACCGAGACGGCGGCCGTGGCCTCGCTCAAGGCCTGCCGGGTGCTGTGCTCGATGAACGGGGGTCCCTGTGGCTCCTCTCCACGGGCCTCTCCTGGGAGGGGCAGGAAGGCCAGCCCCGTCTCCGGGTCGGTGACACAGCGGGCCAGCAGCTGCCTGTAGCTGAGGCTCTCCTGCGTGTGGGGGTCCGAGAAGCCAGCAGCCTGTGAGAGATGCTGCTGCGTCTCCTCGTCCAGGCAGCCGTAGCGCAGGGCGGCCTCCAGGGGCAGCCGGAGCCTGCGGGCTGGACACACGAGCCCGCCCGTGGCCAGCTGGGCATCCAGGAGCCGCAGCGCCAGAGGCCGGCCCACCAGCTCCTTCTTCATGGCCTGGAAGAGGGGGATGCGGGTGCCGCTGAAGGGGTCGTGGAACCCGGACACCGCCTGCTCTGCCTCCAGGAGCTGCCCGTGCAGCTCTGGGCCCACCAGGCCTGCCCTGACTGCCTCGTCCACGCTGAGCCTCTGGCCGGTGGCCGGGTCCACCAGAGCGCAGGCAGCGGCCTGAGCCTCAAGGAGGGGCAGTGCGGCGCCCACGGGCAGCAGGTGCTCGGTGACGGCCTGGAAGAAACTCTTCTTGCGGCCGGCGGGCAGCAGGACGACCCCGGCCACACCGCCGGTGCCCTGCAGGTAGCGCCGCACCTGGGGGCGGGCGCTCACCTCCTGCACTGACAGCGTGCCCTCCTGCAGGCCCCGGGCCGTCTCCTTGTCCAGGATCCCGGCCTCCAGCAGCTCGGCTGAGCTGGCCGCCCCGCCCAGCGTGCGGAAGGTGGTCTGCAGAGGCAGCAGGGCCAGCCCCGTGGCGGGGGCCCGCACGCAGCGGCCCAGCAGCTCGCCGTAGGACAGCCGCTCCAGGGTGTTGGGGTCCAGGAAGGCCGGCTCACGCTCTGACAGGCCGCGCTGCGTCTCCTGGTCCAGGAGGCCCTGCTGGCAGGCCAGCTCCGGGGCCAGGCGCACTCCCCGCATGGGGTCTATCAGGCCCCCCGTGGCCAGCTGGGCCTCCAGCCAGCTCCACCCCAGCGCCCTGTCTACAACCTCCTTCCCAATGGCCTGGAAGAGGGCCAGCTTCTCACCCCCGTAGGGGTCAGGGTACCCAGTGACCGCACGCTCCGCAGCCAGCAGCTTCTCCTTCAGCTCCAGGCCCACCAGGCCGCACCGCAGGGCCTCAGACACGGGGAGAAGCTGGCCCTGGGCGGGGTCCACGAGGCCCCCGGTGGCGGCCTGGGCCTCCAGCAGAGCCAGCCCAAGCCGCTCCGGGAGCAGGCCCTGCTTCATGGCGGCGTAGAGACTCAGGGTCTGGCCCGACGCCGCCACGTGCACCCCGGCGACGCTCCCGGCCTGCGGCCCGGGGGGTGCGCCGGCTCCCTGCACGGCCTTGGTGGCCTTGGGGACGATGGCCGGCTTGGTGCTGTCGGTGACCAGGACGTCCAGAGGAGAGGCGTGGCCGTTCATGGTGCCCGGCTGGCTGTGCAGAGCTGACTAGCCCGAAATCCGCTGTGTCTGCTCCCTGCGGAGGGGGGAGAGGGTCCGTCAGGGGCCCTGGGATGGCCCAGGAGGGCGGTCGGGGTCAACCCCAGAGCCTGGGCGCCCCTCGGGGGACCAGATCTGAGCCCAGGTGAGGCCCCTCCCACTCCAGCGCCTTCACCGCCCACCCCGCCTGCCCGCCTCCTGGGGGGGCCTGTGCGTGCGCACCTGGCCTCCGCCCTGCACCCTGCGGTGCCCACGCCTCCAGCCACACGACCTTCCCCTCTGCTCCCCACGGCTTCTCCCCGCCACCCCGCGCCGTGGACACCAGCTCCCACCTTGTCCTCCTCCCCGTGATGCCTCCAGACTCGCCCCCCAGCTCCCAGCGGGGCTGCGGCCACACCCCCCACGCTCCCCTCTCCCACCCTGGGGCCCCAGCCTGTGTGACCCGCAAGGTCCCCCCTCGGCCCAGCTCTGGACTCCCCTCTGCCCGCCCCGGCCTGCGCCCTCAGTGTGGCTTCTCTGTGCCCACCGCCGGGGCCCGGGGCCCACAGATTCAGGGCCCGTGGCTACTCCTGCGGGGCTGTGTGTGGGGGGGGGCAGGCGTGGTTTCCGGCCCTTCGGGTCGCGGTCAGCGGGCTGAACACCCAGCAACCGCCCGCTGTCCCCTCTCAGCAGACAGCTGTGTGCACGGTTCCCCGAGCAGCGGTGACAGGTGCCTGACCCCTCACCTGGGCCTGCCTCCTCCTCGCTGGGCTACACCGTGTTCCCCAGAAAGGCACGTCCCAGCCCCCGGCCCAGTCCCTGTGACGTGGCCTTGCCCAGAGCCAGGGCTTCTGCAGGTGTCACTGGGACACGGTCACCCCGGAGCAGGGAGGGGCCTGACCCAACATGCCTGGTGTCCCGGGAAGACAGACCCGGGACAACGCCCGTGGTGCTGGAGGCAGGCTGGCGTGACGCAGAACGCCCAGAACGCCCAGGGTTCCCGTCAAAAGCCGGAGGCACCGACTTCAGCCTCTGGCCTGTGCGCTGTGAGGACTCGCTTCCCTTGTTCCCAGCCCCGGGGGCCGCGGTGGCCGCCTGGGGCACGGACAGCAGCCGCCCCCCGCCCCCCCGCCCCCCCCCCGTCTGTGAGCCACGCCCTCCCCACTTCCCCAGAAGTGTCCCCGAAGCCCCCTCCTGGTCCCTGCCCTGCTCCGCTGTCCTCCCCTCCCCCCACCCCCGGCCAGCTCCCCGGGGACCACACCTCGACCCCCCACACCCCACCTGTGGTCCAGGGAGAGGCCCGGGCCTGTGTCTGCCCCCCGACCCCGCTCCACAGCCTTTGCTGAGGTGACCTTGCACTCCGGCTGCCAAATCTGACACCTATCTTTGTTGGGTCTGGAGGCCCCTGACCTCTGGGGTCGTGGGGCATGGGGCACCCGGTCCCTGGTGACCGAGCTCTGCTCCGTCTCCGCGAGTCCAGTAACTCAGAGGGCCCCCCGAGGCTGCCCCAGCCCCTGATCTGCCATCGAGCCCGGCCTGTCCGAGGCCCGAACTACAAGTCCAGCGGCCTCACGAGCACCCTCGACCGCCTCAGCCGCCGGATCCCTCTCAGAGCCTGAGCCCCAAACCCCCAGCTGGCCCCACGGGGGGGGGGCCCTCCACCCGGCCCACCTCACGTCGGGGCTGCCCTGAAGCCCGGAGCAGGAGGGTCAGCAAGGGGACACGTGGGTGGGGGCCGAGACCCGGTGGGGCAAACGCATGGAGCCCGTCCCCACCCCTCGGCGGCAGCACGGAACCTGCCCCCTCCCTGCCCTTGCACAGCTGCCGGGCGGGAGGCTCCTGGGGACGCCCTGCCGCCGCCGGCCTGCCGCTCGGGCTCGGGCAGTGGGTGCCAGGACCAGACGCGGGCGGGCGGGGCCCTGGGGGCACTGCTGCTGCTGCTCTCCCACCTTCCCGAGGGGCGCTGCTGTTGGGGGGGGGGGCGTGCGTGCTCAGGGCACAGTGCCCGGCGTTGGGTCAGATGTGACCCGCCGTACGGCAGGAGCCCATGTGGTGGCCAGCAGAGAGGCGCTGATCTCCCCGGGGCGAGGCGGGCTGAGGGGTCCCGCGGCGAGGGAGCCACTGAGGGCGTCTCGGAAACACCGGCTCACGGGAAGCTCTACCGTGTCCCCGGGAGGGGGCCACACGGGTCCAGGAACCAGGGGTGGGAGCCACTGTGCCCACACCGACCCGCCGGGAGCTCGGCCCCTCCTCTGGAGCGCCCACAACGGTGGGTTCAGTCGTCCTGGTCCCAGAGGACGCCCACTCCGCAGGGGACACAGCTCTGGTCCCTCCGAGCCGAAGGCCACAGCCTCTAGCAGGGCCCTCAGGCCCCTTGTGTCCAGGGCCACGAGGCCACAGAAGGGCGACCTGCCTGGCCAGAGAGCTGATTGGACCACCATGAGGGGGCGGGGCCTGTGGCAGGGTGGGGCAGGGACTGTGCCCCGGTGGCCCGCCCAGCTCCTCCCCTATGTGGCAGCAAACAGGCAAATGCAACTGCCGGGCCCTGGCCTGAGCAAGGGCCTTGGGGATGAGCGCCTAGGGTGGCCGAGGCCCCCTGCCCACCTCCTCCTCACACATTTCCCCGGGAAGAGATGACCCACAGCACCCTGGGGGTGGACCTGGCGTGATCGTGGCGGATGCAGGGCTGCCCCAACGCCCTCCCGGGGTCCCTGAGAGAGTCCTGCAGGCCGGCTGGTCTCGGCTCATCTGGGTCCCCTCTTCCCGCCCACAGGCCGCCCGGAGGCACTCCCTAGTCCTCCCTGCGCAGACTCCCCCGCTCCCGGGGCCAGCCGGGCATGTGCTTGGCTGCCCCCCAGCAGCTTCCAGACGAGCGCACGCAGGCTGGCCTGCGGCCCGCCCAGCCTTGGCAGGGGCTCCAGGGAGGTTGGAGCGGCGCTCCTGTCCAGTGTGCCCAGCAGGGACAGGGGCGGGAGAGGAGAGAGACACCTCTCCGCCCAGCAGAGGGTCACCTTGGCGGCAGGGTGACCAGGTGGGCACAGCTGGGTGTGGCTCTCGGCCCGGAGCCTGCACGGCCCCAGCTGCAGGGAGGAGGGGCAGGGCCAGGACGGGGGACCCAGAGGGGCCCCAGAAGGCTCCACAAAGGGGACTCCTGAGGGGAGGGGGTACCTGAGGGACACCGACACAGGCAGCGGGGGCTGCGCCTGGAGCCTGCCGTGGGGATCCTGGGAAGGCGGCCAGACATAGGGGGCTGGGCTTTGCAAGACACCGGCCAGGGCCTGTGAGGGGTGCCCTGAGTGCGGGTATGGGTGTGCCGGAGAGGGGGCCCCCGTGCAGAAGTGGGTGCACTGTGGGAAGGGGCCCGGGCCCTGGGGAGGGAGACTGAGCAGGGCCCCTCCCCCAACACACGCCACCAGCAGCAAAGAGCCAAGGAAACCTGAGACAGGACGCCCCTCCTGGCTTCCCCGGAACGGCCCCACCTGCAGGGCCAAGGCCACCGGCGGGGGAGGCCGTTCCCGAGACAGGCAGGTCCGCATTTTTGGAGGCGGGGCACCGCCCCGTCGCCCAGGGTGGGGGCGGGGAGCCCGCTGGCTGTCCACCTGGTCCGCACAGACCCAGAGGCAGGCAGGGACCTTTGCCTAACTTCCCGCGCAGCTGGAAGGCCGCCCAGGTGCGGGCGGACGGACGGACAGCAACAGTTCGATAGAATCTCGGCGTCAGGGCCGACAGTGGGGCACCGGACAGGCAGAACCCCTCCACGTCCGCCTCCCGAGGGTCCTGAGGTGACCCCGCGCGAGGGTCCCCGGGCAGCTCCCTCAGCGCGTCAGCGCCCAGCCCCTCGGGCAGGAGCCACACCTGCCTCTCAATCTGTCAGCCTAATTGCCTCGGCCCCAGGTGCCCAGGTCGGCTCCCGTCGCCAAGGCCCCCTCCCCCTGCCCAACAAGGGCGAGGGGCGGTGAGGAACCGGACCCGACCGGCAGGGCCCCGCCCGCAGAGGCGCACCGGTCCAGCCGGGAATCCGCAGGGCGGGCGGGCGGACAAGACCCCCGGCTGAGCGCGCGTCTCCCACGCCCGCACGGGGGACCCCAGTCTCCCCACCTGCACCCCCGGCTGCTCCTCGCCGCGCACGAGGGCTGGTAGCACGGGGCTGTGGCCGCAGTGCCCCGCTCCGCCCGGGCCCCCACGTGGGCCCGGAGCTCAGACTGCCCGGGGCGGGACAAGCGTGAGCCCCACTCGCACCCCTTCCCCAGCCTCAGCGGCCGAGCCCGGCCGACGTGGCGCAGGTGTTTCGGTTTCGCCGGGCGGCGCGGGTGTTTCGGTTTCGCCGGGCGGCCGCTCTCTCGGCCCCGGGGTCCTACCTGCGCGCTCCAGGGCCCGTGCGCAGTCCCTCCGCTCGCTCCACGGCCCGCGCCAAGCGCCGCCGGGATTTAAACCTGCTCGGCCCCGCCCTGCGGCGGCGGCCCCGCCTTCGTCTGCGGGCGGCCAGCGGCCAGGTGGGGGCGCGCCAAAGCCTGGTGGGGCGGTTAGGGACCGAGAACCGACGCCCCACGACGACCCTTGGCCGGTGGGCGGTGAGCTCCTGAAGGCAGGGGGCGCCCCGAGGCGCCAGGATGGCGGCTGCAGAGGGGCAGGGCCCTCTCCCTCCTGCCCCGGCCCCTTCCTGACCTCTGGCCAGGCACGGCGGAGGAATACTGGGCGGGCGCAGCAGCAGAACACGGATGCGTTTCACGCCCGCCAGGACGGCATTTGCCGGCATTTGAATGGAGTTTGCAAGGGAAATACGGACCTGTCGGGACAGGGACACGCGGGTTTGCTTTGCAAAACACGACTTTATTGCCCGAGCAGGACTGGAGGTCCGGGGCAGGCTCCGTGTGGCCCACCCCTCCCCCCTCTCTGTCGCTGTGCGCGCGCCTGCTCACTCCCTTGGGGCCGGCTGCTTAATGCTGAGTGGGCTGAGCCAGGCTGTCCTGAGCAGTTCCCTTCCGTGTGCCCCTCCGTGGCCTTGACCTTGAAGAGCTGGGGTCCCTGTGTCCCCAGCAGGCTCCCAGTCCCGTCTGAAAGGGAGAGCCAGGCCTCACCCCAAGGGTCCAGCGGCTCCCCCTGAGCATGGAGACCTCCTGTCCACCCAGAGGTCCCCAGGGCCCCTCGAATGCCCATTCCAGCACCCACCTTCCTGGGCAGGAGACAGCTGGGGGCTCTGAGGATAGGGGACGTGACCTTGGGGGCCGGCCTGCTGGGGACCACGGCCCAGGACAGGAACCTCTCATGGATCTTCTGGCTGGTCCTTCCCTCCGCTGCCCAGAGACGCCAGATGGACAAGGGTAGAGCAGGTGCCGGGCCCCCCAGGTCAGGGCCTGAGGCCTCCCTTCTGCCGGCCCTGAGGGCTCAGGTGCCCCCGCCCCCCGCCCACCAGCCCTCACCTCTGCCCGGGTCATTCTTGACCAGATACTCATCCAGGGCCACCCAGCCACCTCCGACGCGCACCATGAGGGAACCTCGGGGCACCTGCACGGGGGGGGGGGTGCTGGGGTCAGTCCCCACGGCCCTGCCCTGCGCACCGCCCACCAGGCCCAGGCTCACACCTGCTCACCGAGGCTCCCAGGACGCTGGGCCGGCCCCTGGGCATCTGTGGGCTCCTCGCGGTCCACGTCCCCCACACTGGCCAGGCTGGGTGGCTGCCGCCGTCTTCTGAGGGGCCCTGGCCCCGAGCAGTGAGGTTTGGTGTGAACCCACGTCCCCCCAAAGTATGCAGGGCCAACCTCATCCACCCCCAGCCCTGCTCACCAGGTGCCAGGACACCGTCCACGTTGTCCTGCCGGGAAGCGTGGCCGTGCCGGCCGTGGCTCGTGGCCCGGAGCGAGCCCCGGAGCCGCTTCCTCCTGTGGCCGAGCCACGGCAGGAGGTGCTGCCTGGCCACGAACCCCGGGCGTGTGCCAGCTGCTCGCTGCGGGGAGGGGATGCGAGGCTGGCCGGGCCTGGGTCTCCCTCACGTGTCCACGGCTGGGTGGGCTGCTGGTGGCCGGCCCCGGTCCTCGTCCCGCCGGCTCTGCTCCCTGCGGCTGCAGCTCCCTGCGGTGGCCTCCAGCTCAGCTCTTCCAGGCGCCCACTGCCCTTCTCCCCGGGCCCTGGGCAGTCCCTGGCCGGGGTCCCTCAGAGCCAGCGCCTTCCCAGGAGCCCACCCACACGGCTCCTGGGGCCTCGGGGGGCCGGCAAGGCGAGCCCCACGCCCAGCACCGCCCTCTGCACTCCCTGCCGCCACCAGCCAGCGGGTGCCCCGGCCCGAGCTGGCGGCCGGGCGCCCTGAGCCCCCAGGAGCTGTGCGAGGCCCTGCGGGGCACTCACAGGGCGTGGTCCCAGGCCCCCCGAGAGCAGGGTCAGCGTGCGGACCCCAGCCACAGCTCCCACCTTCGCCCCGCAGGGCTCGGCCTCCGTCAGCCCGTGGGGCGGTGCAAACGGGTCCTGCACACAGGCGAGCGTCACCGTCCCCTCCAGGACACAGGGCCTGCGGCGGCAGAGTGGCAGAGGTGGGCGGGACGCAGGGTGGGCGGGAGTGGGTGGGTGCCGAGCAGAGGGGCAGGCTGACCTCTCCATCGAGGGGCTGGACAGCACCGCCCAGTGGCCCCTCGGCTTCAGCAGCAGGCCCAGGTGGCAGGTGCGCCCCCGGGGGCTCCTCCCCCCCGGGGCGGGGCTCCTCCGCGGCCAGGGGGACGGGACACAGGCTGGCCCATTCAGTGCGGCCCGAGGTGCCTGCGTGGTGGGGAGACCACAGCCCAGCTGGTGCCACGGGGCTGGGCACTCGGGGCTGAGGTGAGAAAGGCCAGCAGGGCTACCCCTACTACGGGTGGACCTGTGTCCCCCAAATTCGCACGTGGAGGTCCTAACTCCTGAGCTCCTCAGGACGTGGCCGAGATTGGAAACACGGCCACTGCAGATACACTCAGCAGGAGGAGGCCCTACCACCGGCGTGTGAGTGAGGGTGGCCCCGAGTGTCCTCGTAAAGGGGAGGTTCAGACGCCGAGGCACAGAGGGGAGATGGCGGGAGGACGCAGGAAGCTGGCGCGGCCGTCCGCGGAGGACAGGGGCCCGGGGCCGAGCCCCCCTCACCGCCCTCGAAGGCCCAGCCCTGCACCCCACAACCGACAGCCGCCAGCTGCCGCTGTGTAAGCTGCTCAGGCAGCCCCCGCAAATGAGAAGACAGTCCCGGGTCCGAGGACTAAGGCGGGCCGAGGGGACCTCAGGGCGGGAGGCGCCCGGGGCAGCCCAGGCACCCCCCCAGTCCCTGCAGGGGGAGGGGGAGGGGCAGCACCAGGGTGGGGCCCCTTGGGGACCCCAGGCCGGACCATGCATGTGCCCTGGACCAGGAGCGACGCCCAGGCTGCTCTTCAGAATCAAACGTCCGTGTCGTTGGCTCCCGTGTGTTTTCTCTCCGGTCCGGTCATCGGCGGGGGGGCGGGGGGGTAGGGGAAGGAGGGAGGCCCTGAGCGGCCTCACTGTGATCTCCGCTGGGGCTCGGCCGACAGCCGAGGTGGGAGCTGCGCCAGGCCCCCCGGGCCTCTCTGCCCCACCCAAGAGAGCGTGGAGGCTGGGCAACGCAGTCCCCTCGGCCCTTGGCTGCCCAGACCACCTCTGGGGGCCGGCAGCCAGGGCCCGCCGGCCCTGCGGGGGGAGCAGGGGAGCCTTGTCCTGGGGGCCTGAGGGCGCTCAGGGGATGGGGGCTGAGTCTGGAAGTTGCCATGGAAGTCCTCTGGTCGGCCCTGCCCGCCCAGCCCCCTCCACGGAGGGCAGGTCTCCTCTGCAGGTCCTGCCTGGGGGCCAGCCCCAGCTCCCCTGCGGTCCCCCCTCCTCCCACAGGACCCCTCCCCGGCCCCCCACACCTCCAGAGCACCTGCAGGGCTCGGGCCCAGCCGCCCCCAGGCTGCAGCCCCTCCTTGCCGGCCGTGGGCTCCACAAGGCCCCACCAGATCAGCTCTGCCGGCCCCCAGGTGGCCTTCAGCCCAGTGTCCTCCTCCTGAATCTCTGACCAGAACGCGGCTGGGGAGAGAGGACCAGCTGGAGAGCCCGGCCTCGGCCCCGGCCCCGACCCCTACCCCGACCCGTCGGGCCCGGCCCACTGTGCACCTGGAGCCCCAGGGCCCCCGTCCTGGGCCCGGTCGCCAGTCCCCACCGCGGTGAGCTCCGAGGGCCCCGGGGCGCCCAGTGGCGGGTGCGGCCTCTGGGCGGACTCCGTGTGTGCCACCACCTGGCCGGGGGCCTCTGCCCGCTGAGCCAGCTGCTCCAGCCGCTCCGCCAGCCCGGCCAGCTGGGCCCGCAGCTGCAGGAGGAGAGCAGCGTCGTCCCATGCAGCCCGGGCCCGGGGCCCACAGCCGCCCAGCCAACCCTGCGGGAGGCCAGGGGAGAGGGGACAGGGCAGAGACCCCTCCCCGGGCCGGCCAGTCCCCGGCCCTCCCGGCCCACCCCGGGGACCACGGGCTTGGCCCAAACACCTGCTCTTGGTCCTCGGACCCTTGACACTCCGAGGCTGCCCCGGCCAGTTCCAGCGGGGCTCCCAGGCTTGCCGGGGGCCAGGGCTCCGTGGACGCTGTGCCCAGGCCACACAGCAGTGCCCGCTGGGCACGCACGGCGTCCCCCTCCAGCTGCGCCAAACCCTGGAGCTGCTCCAGCTGCTCCCTCGCCGGCCGAGCGTCGTCCTCTGCAGCCACGTGGGAGGGAGGGGCTGGGGCCAGGGGCGTGGGCACTGGGGGTCCTCGCTCCAGCACCCGGACCACCGCGAGGCAGCGCAGGGGGGACTGGGTCCCCAAGCAGGAGCTCCGAGGACACCTTCGCTGACCTGCCGGCCTGTCCCGCCCACCACTCACCCGCGAGCAGCGCCAGCAGCCTCCAGCCGGCCTCCAGGGCCCTGTCCAGGCCGTCCTCGCAGGCCACAGCCCCCGCACACGCCTCCTGTGAACACACACCCACTGGGCCCGAGGCCGGCGCCGCCCCCCCGCCCCGGGCCCCGGGCTGTACCTGCAGGTGCCCTGTGGCCCCCTCTCCGCCTTGAGGCCCCTCCTGGCCCTGCCCGAGCTGGGTCGGGGGCCGCTCGGCTGGGGTCAGCCGCACCAGCAGTGCCCCTCGGGCCTCCTGGAAGCTCTGGGCCGCCGGCACCAGCTGCTCCAGGAGCGCACACCTGGGGACCGCGACACGGTGGTCAGCAGCACCTTCCCGGCACCAGCCCCCACCGCCAGGCCCCCACGGCCTCACCTGGCCTCTGCCCGCTGCACCAGGCGGTCCCATCGGGCCCGCAGCTGCTCCGCCGGGCTCCCCGCCTCCCGCAGCGCCCGCTCCACCTGCAGCGCCCGCTCCCCGAGCAGGCGCCGGAGCAGCTGCGGCGCAGGACACAGGACACAGGACACAGGACACAGGGCACAGGACACAGGACACGGGGCTCGGGGTGAGGCGGGGCGGCA